TCTGGCTTTTTCTGTTTATGTGGTACTGAGGAATTGAACCCAGGGTTTCATGCATGCTAGACAAGCATTCTACCACTAAGCCACATTCCTACTCCTCATATATACTTATACCAGTAGTTACATAGAAAAACATTATGGTATAGTAATTTTGGATTAATTATAATGGATTTCTGTGTGTAGGTCTTACATTACTATTACATTATTTTTATTTTTTTTTCAGTGAAGTAAAATATATAGTATAATGATTGGGAAATAGTGGTTTGATGAGTAAATGTTATCTTTGTTAGTTTATTAACATGTGATTCCTCTCTTTTTCTCTCTTCCCTTGCTCCAGGGTGTGGATGAATGGAACATAGCCCGCCTAAATACTGTCTTGGATGTAGTGGAAGAAGAGTGCGGCATTTCTATTGAGGGTGTGAATACTCCCTACCTCTATTTTGGCATGTGGAAAACCACATTTGCATGGCACACCGAGGACATGGACCTCTACAGCATTAACTATCTCCACTTTGGAGAGCCCAAGTCTTGGCAAGTGTCTTCTTTAATATTTATTGCCTTCAAGTTTTGAAATTTGGGCATTATGACTTTGTATTTTGTTTAAGAAATGTAGAAAGTTTGTCAAGGAACTTTTCTCAAGAATTTTCTTTCGAAGAGCATTCTTTCTTTGATTTGATTCAGATTGATATGAACCATAAGGAAGTTTTTGGCTATAATTTTCTTCTCTGCCCAGAGAAGAAATAATTCTCTGCTGAGAAATTATAAATCCTGTGATGACTGGTATGTATGAAGTTACCTGCAAAGCATTTTGTGGGTCATGGATTAATTTTGTTTTTAGCATTAGGTGACTTGGTAGACATCTTTACTTCCTTTGGGAAAGGTATATGTGAGGTACTTAGGAATAAAAAATTGACTTCATAGAGGTAGAAATTCAGGTTATCTTTACAGTTTTGGCCTAGCTTCTAAATGACAACTTTATTCAATCTATGCATAAAAGGAGAGGACGAATGAATCAGGACTCCTATTAGCATGGTACATACCTTTAGATGATAAGGGTAAGGAAAATAATAACATGTTAATATGAATGTGTCTTTTAATGGTATTTTTGTATTTGTGTCTTTCCTCATCTTAGCAATGATATGAAGATGTTGCATTTCTATAAAATATGTTACATTCATTATTTATTTGTAATGAGCCTGTTGTTCATACTGACATCCTTTACGATCAGCTGATTTCATGTTCTAACTTGTTTCCATTGTTTTGGGTATGCAGAGAGGTTAAATATTAGTTCTGTTTTCTATAGTGTATACATAAACATGTGCTTTACAGTCCAGGAAATGTTCTATTTCTAATGGTTGTGAACATAATAGGATGCTCTCCAGGGGTTGTGTCAGCCTAAAGGGTCAGTTGTCTCTAATTGGAAGATAACAGCCTCTTTGAATTTCTCCTATTGATGTACTGTTGAAATGCAATGCTTAATACTTATCCTTATCCTTAATTTTCTACGAGGTTTTACCATTTGATGACATGTAAAGTTGAAAGCTTCTTTGCGAAAAATTAAATATAGCTAACTTACTAATGGTTAATAAGTGGACATTTAGTTGGAAATAAACTTGTATTTGGAAGGGTAAAGATCCTAGAACATTCAATAGAAATTGTCTTTTTTTTCTGGCCAGTCCTGGGGCTTGAACTTAGGGCCTGGATATTGTCCCTGATCCTCTTTGTTCTAGCCTTGAGCCTATGCTGGCTTCGAACCATGATCCTCAGATCTCAGCCTCCTGAGTAGCGAGGATAACAGGTATAAGCCACTGGTACCTGGCTTAGAAATTATTTTTTATTTTATTTTATTTTTTGCCAGTCCTGGGGTTTAAACTTGGGGCCTGCGCACTGTCCCTGTGCTTCTTTTTCTGGAGACTAGTACCCTACCACTTGAGCCATAGTGCTACTTCTGGCCTTTTCCATTTATGTGGTACTGAGGAATCGAACCCAGGGCTTCATGCATGCTAGACAAGCACTCTACCACTAAGTCATGTTTCCAGCCTAGAAATTAATTTTCTTCTTTGTATTAAGTGTTTGGAAGACATTCCTCCTTCTCCTCCCCCTCTTCTTCCTTTTTCTCTTCTTCCTTTTTCTTCCTCCTCCCTTTCCTTCTCTTCCTTCTCCTCCCATTTCCTTTTTGGGGAACAAGAAATTCTCTCTCTCTCTCTCTCTTTCTTTTTTTCTTGCCTGAGCCACCCACCCTCAATTTCTGCTTTCCTATTAAGAATGATGATTGCCTTTTCTTCTTTGGGAACAGATTGATGTTGATTCCTGAAGAATACTTATGAAAAACTCTCCTAGTTCAGAGTCTTATATCTCTGGTAAAGAATATCACTGTTCATGAGTGATAATCATTATACCCCTTTCCAAAATATTTCTTTCTCTCAGCATGTATAGTTTCAGTAGTAAATTACTTTATTAGTTATTAGGCATATAGACTCCATTAAGGATAGATTTATATTATCACTATTATCTTTAACCTTGGCCATTATTTATAATGATTAAATAATAAAACCCAGCAGTGAGTTATGACAACTAATCTACATTCCATTTCTAGGATAACTAGATAGGAAAAGAGTACTATACATGGTGTTAAAGTACATTTTTCCATTGATTTATGAAAGATTGTGTTGCTGGAGCATAAATAATTTTGGAAAGAACTTTACTATCACTTTTAGAAATTATTATAATGTTTTTGAAGTAAGCTTTTATAGGATGTAAAAGCAATACAAAGCCATGCATATATTGGGGTGGGCAGTAGCTATGGCAGAGTCTAGACTCGAAGGACCACGTATTAGGGCTCTAGTATTTATTATGCCATTGACATTTATACCTACACAAATACCTGCACTTCTGTGGTCCCCTCTCTTCTTACCTACAAAATCATTAGGTTAGCAGAAATAATCTTCAGTGTTTTTTTTATTTCTTTTTTGTGGTTGTGATCAGTCCTAGGAATATTTTTATTTACTTAGCAAAATGAGAAGATGACTAGGTAAGTAGGTATTTGTACCTGCATGTGCTGGTTTCCTTTTGTATTTGTCTACTGGTTGCGTTGCATCTAGCCTTAGCTGTGCAACAGTTACTTTTTTCTGGTGGATGTTTTCTTCTGTGTTGTGTCTGTTCCTTCAGTGTGTCCTCTCTCTTCTCCTAGCCTTAGAAGCCAGCATTTAATGTCTGCTATGTCCTCTTCTACAGTTTTACCCTCAGTTCAGGATATGATTGATTACTGCACTGACTTCTATGACTCCCTTCATACTTCAGGTCCACATTTCTGGAGTTTGAACCTAAGGCCTCAGATTCTTGCTTTAGTTTTTTCCCCTCAAGGCTGATTTTCTATTATTAGGCTTTCCCTCCAGCTTTTTGATGGTTTATTGGCAATAAGAGTCTGATAGATTTTCCTGCTTGGGCTGGCTTTGAACCCTGATCTTCAGATCTCAGCTTCTTGAATAACTAGGATTACAGACATGAGCCACCAGTGCCTGGCTACTTTTGCATCTTACCAGTGTTTGTGATCACCCCCTTCATACACTTCTTTTCACCTCCATCCTGTGGATGCTTTGAAATTAATTAAGGTCCATTTTTTCCCCCCTTAGAATCATCAACACACAGCTTGGTTATAGGTTTGGTGCCCTGGCAAAGAATTCTTATATAGGATCTGGAGAATGTTTACATTGTTTAAGGGCAAGCAAGGAAATAGAGCATTTTAATAAATGTAAGTATTAAGAATACCAAATTTCCTGAGATTTCTAAGTCATTGAAGATATGTACAGCTCCAGTCAGAAGCTGTGAGATAAACATTTGTAGCCACTATGTATGGCAGGACTGCCAAGTAAATGTTCACTAACAGATTTATATTAAAGAGACTGTAGAGGAGCTGATGATTTATTTAAACATTTCTGGCATAAAGGTTTAAGGGAAAAGAATCCTTAGAGTAAGAAGATAGAAAACAGCTTTGGCAGCCAATGGGAAAGTATTTATTTTCTTGGAATTAATATTGACTTTGGAGCCAGAAGACTATTTTAAAATCCCAATCTGTCACTTACCAGCCAGATGACTCAGGGCAGATCACTCTACTCCTTTTATCATGAGTTTCTTTCAGTGCCAAGTGGAGGCATGATTTATTTTCTGTTACTTTGCAGGATATCTAGAATATATCTAGTATAAGAGTACCTGGTAAAATATTAGATACTGTACAAAAATTCATAATTTGTATTATGTTAGTAGCTTTATGAAAAACAAATATGTTTATGGTCATAGTAGTATCTGAAAGTCTGAGTTTGACATGTTCCTGTGTCTAGTAGAATGGGGATTTGAATATAAATAAGATATGCTTTTTTTTTCCTCTTAAGCATTATGTATTGTTTGGGGATACAGAATTCAAATGGTAACTTGAGCCTCTCTTTCCCAGATGGGGTTCAAATTCAAATGAATGAGTAAGCAGTTTTCAGAGCTTTCTTATGCTCTGTAGAGAATGAGAAATATGTGGCATAGAGGATGTGCCTGGAGTGTGAACCAAGGCCTGGAGTTCAAGAACCTCTACATCTCCCAAACAAAACAAAACATCTCTAGCAGTGGTGTGTGTTCTCAAAATGGCCCCTGTGAGAAGTGAAGAAGGCCAGGTGTAGTGCAGTAGAACCCTGGGGAGATCCCATAGGTGGCTCTATTGAAAGTATTCAAGTGCTCTTTCAGGTTGCTGGCTGGTCCATTGCATATGGGTCCATCTCCTCCTCTTCAAGGGAAATGTGATGTGGGAAGAGGGGATTTCTTTCCCTCCCTCCCTCCCTCCCTCCCTCCCTTCCTTCCCTTCCTTCCTTCCCACTCCTAGGGCTTGAGCTTGGGGTCTGGGCCCCCTCCCTGAGCTTCTTTTGCTCAAGACTCGCACTCTACCACTTGAGCCACAGTGCCACGTCTGGCCTTTTCTGTTTACGTGGTACTGAGGAATCAAACCCAGGGCTTCAAGCATGCTAGGCAAGTAATCTACCAGTAAGCCACATTCCCAGCCCTGGGGCTTTCTTTTGATGTATATAGTGAGGGCCCAATCAGGAAGTGGCAACATTGGTAACCTTCTACATTGTCAGAGTAATCTTTTCTGTTTTCATAATCATCTATTTTTAGAATTTTTTTTATTGTAAAGGTTATATACAGAGGGGTTACAGTAAGGTAATGAGTGCATTTCTTGTCTAACTTTGTTACCTCTCCCTAGTTTTCTTCCACTCCGCCCCATTCCCCCCAACTTGTAAAGTTCCTTTCCAACAAAGTGTCTTATGAGTATCCCTGTAGCATTGGTTCCCTTATTCCTTTGAATCATCTGCTTTTAAGAACTGAAAATTACGTATGAAAACATCCCATTTTTCATAGTAAATAGTGATTTTTCATAAATGAAATTATGTATCGAATCCAGTGGTTCACTCTTCTTGACACGATGGATTAGGAATGTGCCATGATTAAATATGATAAATATTGAGTTTAATGAAATACAATATTAGCACTTT